ATTATGAGCAGATTGTCTCTTTCCCAAGAGATCTGATTGGCTTATTATTTGAGAGTCTTTTGACTGCAGATAAACTAATTTGCTGCTGTACTTCTTGTAAAAAGGCTGCATGATGTAGCCTATATGACTACAGATGCCTTTAAATTGTGTTGTTTTGTTGCTTTTTTTTTTTTTTTAATAGAGGACTATTAAAATGAAGGTATATGGGCCAGTCCTCAGCTGGCATAAATCCATATAATTCGACCTTCAAAAATCTGACCTGTTCCTGTCTTTGCATGTTGGAGCGTGTCTGGATGAAGGAACAGGACTGTCACATTCCTGTGCTGAGTAAAGGCAAAAAAAAACCCCAAACCCCAACCCACAAAGAAACACATGCTGCTTTACTTACTTTACCTTGTTCCATTTGTCCTGGGTTATCAAAAAGGCCATATGTTTTCATTCTTTGTATTTTGCCCCAGAACAATCATGGAGTTCCTCTCAGTTTTCCTCAGCTCTGAAGACATAATATCTGGCCTTAACAAATGGAAAAATACAATTAAAGTTGACAGCGGTCAGAATGCATGGCTGCGTTTTTAGCATTAATATGCTGTGCATATGTACCCAACATCCAAGCTGCACCCAAAGCAGCTTCCCCCTCTCCAGTCTGAAATTCCAAAACAGACGCTTGTTCAAATATTTGTGGTGACATCAAAAAAAAACCCCAAAACTACAAAATAAAGCACTTGGCATGGAGTCATAATGTAATGGCTGGACACAAACATTGTTTTGTTTAGAGCGACAGGTATTTTCTACCTAGCTGGAAGTGAAAGGGAGAGATTGGTGAGTGAATGTCACAGGAAAGTTAAAAATTCTGGCCTGAAGTAGTAAAAAATGAGACGTTCTGAAGAACACCATTATGCTAACTGCTGTGGATAGGCTCCAGCTTAATTTTTTTGTTTGTTATTTATTACGTACAATTGAAATCAGTGTAATGCATCCTGTTTGGTTGTAATGGTTTAGTTAGCTCAGGCCTCCAGGACTTATGAAAGACTAATCTTTCAAACACTTTCTTTCTTTTTTCTTTTTCTTTTTTTAAATAGCTGCTGTTTAAGAGAGAAAAGCTGTAGTTTGGGGGTTTTTAAATGCAATATTTCAAAGCTATTTAAAGAATACAAAAAGCTATACTGGCTATTTATTTCAAATAATAATAGCCATTTACTTAAAATCTTTGATTTGAAAAATTTTTCAACTCAAAGCCCTGATTGATTTGGTGCAGATTCTTTAATTTGCCAGCTGCTAATTTGTTTTCTTTTTAATCTAAATGTAGCACAATTTTTTGTTTTGTTCAGCTCAATTCTTTTACAATGGAATGGTCAAACTTCTGCCCTGGTGTTATTCTTTAATTCTTTGGCTGCTTCTCAAACCTGATTGCAGAGACCTCCTTTGATAGTAAATTCCCACTCGGAGAGCAGCGTTCAGACCTGGGTCTGAGGCTGTGGGGCCCTTTTCAGCTTTTGTTATACAATATTGAAGATAGGTTTTTGTAATGTTAGAACTGTACTGTCCTTCCTAACTTACTTCACCCCAACCACAAAGTAGTCATCATAGAGCAGCAAGCTTTTGGTAGCCGTCAAACTGAAACTAGCATCCTTACTGTGAAAGAAACCCTAATTTGAGGTTAGCTCATTCCCACACAGCTGCATTAGAGCCGCAGCTCTCATAGATACATGGGTGGGTGTGTGTCTGCCCAGGGAATACCAGGCCGGGATTGCCCAAAGCTTCCCAGATTAGATCCTGCCCTGGAAAGGGGTTGGGATAGCATCAGAAAAGCTCTTGAGCACAATTTCTTTCACCGAGATGGCTGCCTCTGTATCTGCCAGAGCTGGAACAACTGCTGGGCCAGTCTGGTTCCCAGCAGTAGCCATGGCAAGGAGTGGGAGACTGTTTGTCTTGTCCGTTTGTCCTCAAAGGGAGGGAGGGAAAGTAAGGAAAAATTATATGAAAGTGCTAATATATTCCTCCTTGACCCTGGATTTTTGGGGATTGTAACACCATTCTAGCCAGAGACATTTGCACATTTTATACATTCACACATTTTATGATGTCAGATGGAGTGGCAATGTACAGGCAATAAATTGATCAAGACAGGCTTCTGCAGAGCTTGTAACCCAGCTGTCGTAGGTCAGGCTGGATTCTCTCCTTACTATTCAAAGCAGCATCAAACTTTAACAAGGGCAAGCATTTGACTGTATGATGTTCCACTGTCATTATTTGAGAACAGTTTTCTGTCACTAAAACTAGTCATGGTGGAAAGGCAAACAGTTCTTTTCTTGGAGGTCATTTGAGCTGGAAGTAAGTTCCTTGCTTTTTGTGAAGGGATCATTCTGCAGTGATTTGGGGAAGAAAGCTACTTTTCCTGCCACAGGTCAGATCCACGTTCATGTGCTGCTTAAGTTTATAACACCATGATTGAGTCATTCATCAGCCTATTCTGGCCCTTGGCACAAAATAAGCATTGCTCTGTGGGAGTAAACATACTAGCAGGGAAAAGAAAATGAAATGAAAACCTGAGCCTGTTTAGAACAATGTATGAAAAACCACAGTTTTGTGCCAGTATGTTTACCTTGGCAGGCCCCCCTCTATCCCACTGGAAGAACCAAGTTTTCTCTCTACTATGAGAATTCTTTTGTGCATGTTTTGAAAAAAAAAATAATCAGAAAAAGAAAAACAAAACAACTGCCCTGGAGCAGATCATTCATCACACCTAGAGTGGGAGTATGAAAGGGGATTTGCTTTGACCTAGTTACAAAAACAAAGAGACTTTCCCTAATTGCCCAAATGACTCAAGTGGGACTGGGTGTTAAAAGGAACAACTATCTGCTTCCTTCAGAGCCATATGTTAATACAGGGCACCAGACTCCAACCTGCTCCAGTTCAAGACCTTTGGAGATGTCACTGAGCTCAATGAAACTTGGGTAAGCAAAAGTCAGCCAGTTTCATATGCATGTACAAACAGGACCAGGAGCCAGGACAAACACATTTCATAAATTATAACAAAGACAGTGGCTTTGAATGCTGAGAGTATTAGCTCTTCAACATTTGCTTTGCCAAGAGCTGCAGACAAGTGAGACTTTCTTGCTTTACCATTCTGGTGCTGCTGTAGGAAGGGCCTGGCTTTCTGATCCACTAAGCCTACCTTTTTATTTCAGAGGAGGCTGAGGGCAACTTCATATCCAAAATGCCATAGGAGCAAGGTGCTCAGCTTTTCCAGGCACCAGTGAAAAGCCCAGTGTCAGTGCACTGCTATTGCAGGATGTGAGGTAAAAAGAGCAAGAGCAAATACAGATAGGGCTGGGAAATAAGACCTAGGAAGCAGAAGAGGAAATGAAGGGAGATAAGAGGCATGAGTAGAGGCAAGGGTTTTATGTAGATATATGGAAGAAGAAAGTCAGTGAAAGAAAAGAGAATGCCATTCATCAGCTACAGAGAGCAGCCTGGAAAAATCAGCATACAAGATCTCTAGGGCTAGCCAGTTACAGCCAGGTAAAAAATAGTCCATCTGGCATCTTCTTGTACAGCATTCTCATGACAGAAGTAGTTGTCCAGTACACATGTGAAAGTAGCCAAAGCTACTTCTGTCAGGAGCTATAGGGCTGGCCCTTCTCTGGAAGTACATCGATTTGCCAGCTGAGGACCCAGCCTGCAATTCTCACCCAGGGAGCACTGGCAGTGTCCTCAGTGCTGCAGAGAAAGGGCCAAGCAGGAGGTTACAGAGACAGGATTTTTCTGAAGCCCAAGTAAAGTCCTGGTTCTATTCAGGTTTAGAGGGAAGGTTCACAAGAGTTTGTATTTTTTCCCCAGATGGTTCACCATCTATTTTAGATGGAACTGTTTGATCTCTTTCTGCTTTGTGTTTCTTTCAGTTTCTGAAACAATAGGAGGAAGCTCGCCTGTTATGTGTGCTTGGGCCCCAACCAAGCTTTTCCCAGCTGGAAAAATCACTCCATGAACTACAGAGGGGTTTTTTTTCCAGCTGTAACTACCAGATTCCCAGTTCCCTTATGCATTTTGTAAGGTAGGTACAGGCTGTCTAAGAGGAACAATGGGACATTTCTGAGTGCTTAAACAATTGCTGTTTCCCCACCATCACCCCCTCTAAAACCTGAGGAGGGCTTAAGCACATTTGAGCTGTTCTGCTCAAGGTTACTGAGACCTCAGCTGAAAAAACACAGAGAGGTTTACAGTTCCATGTAATGGTCCTGCTTTGGTGAGTAACATAGCCAGGCTTTTCCTGTTACCTGATTATATACACACACCCTCCCCAAATTCACCACACCAGCTGGGAGGACTTGGCAAGTGCACAGGGAATATCTGTGTAAGGGTAGCTGGCAGCACTATCACCTCAGATAGGCATGCACCACACAGTATAGCTCAGAGGTCAGCATATAACTAGCCTGGTGGACAAACTTGCCCAGGGGACCAACACGGATCTTTTAACAGAAATGAGACCTCATGCTTGACCAAAATGTTCATCTACAGCAATAAGCAGGTCCCACCCATGACCACATGCTCAGCAAACTTCATCTCCCCTTCCTCTGACAGGAAGCTTTCCAGCTGATCCTGACCGTCCCATCCCATCACCCATCAGATGAGGTATGGGTTACTGTTCCACTGGATGAAAGGTGTGAAGATAGATAGAGGAGAGCATTAACTTTGACTGTAATGCTTAGGAAGGAGCAAATAGACAAATATTTAGGCTATAGAATGGCTCTGGCTAATTGTCAACATCACCTTGCCTTGCTGGGGATAAGCACCTTCTTTTAGAGACCCTAATGTTTCCATCATTCTCACACAGGTAACATCCAGTTGGGATCTTGGAGCACCTGGGTACTAAGGAAGCAAATGGCTGTGCTGGCCAGGACGACCACACGCCATGGAGAGATGGTAAGGAGGGGTCTTCTCCAGCTAGCAACAACCAGAGGTAAGTCTCCAAACACAAATTGAAAATCTCCCTGCCTTACCTGTACAACTGTGGGCAAGACCTCTTCAGAGCAGCAGAGGACAGTCCCAGCTTGTTCTGGTTTCTCAGCCATGTTTTCCTCATAAGATCTTTCATTCTTCCCAAAGCATGGCTCTCACCCTACGGAGCGAAAAAGAAACCACAACTTGAAGGACGAGAGGCTAGCTGCTGGCAGACCTTATCTGGCCAACATATGATACTTTGGTGTGCTCCAGGGTGGTAGGAAGAGGGGAGCTTCTTTATTTGGGACAGAGTCAGGTCTCACAAAAGAATTTTTAACACCCTGCTATCATGCCCAGTGACCAGTTTGTACCTGTAGAGGACACAATGACACAGGATGGATCAACTGTCAGTAACACCATCCGGTTTTGTATTTTGGTTGGTAACCCTTCCGTGTCTAGGACTCTGCTGTTCTTTCTGACTTAAGGTTTCTGAGTGTGAGGGAACTTCTCTGGTGAGTGCTGAGTAGCTGCCTAAAGGCACGTTTTGGTTTACCTTATTGTTATACTGTACTAAAGGAAAGGATCAGTTTGGTTTCCTACCTACTCACATGCACCCGGGGGGAATCCTTTACAACAAAAACAACCCAAAAAAGCAGCTTGACTCCCTTCTCTTTTCTATTTGGCCAGGTGCGTTGGTATCAGCCCTTTTCAAGGTGGTGACTTTTGCGGACCATGAATTAGAAGAGATCAAGCCTTTGTTTCCCTGTCACGTCCACAAGCCACAGCTATTGGGTACTTACATTTGAAATGCTAATAGAGATTATCAGGAGGTCAGGGAGTCTCATGAGGCCCTCCCTAATGTTTGTTCTCTCTGGGCTGAGCTCATCTGGACTCATGAACTGAAAAGGAGCCACACTTCAGAAAATTTTATTGTTTTAAATTTCCTAAAGTAATGGCTGGAAAACCTTGGGAACAGAACAAAAAAAGATCACGCCCCAGAACTAGTCCTAATGGGGTGAAAGGAATCCCATTTCTGTGAACTTCTCAAACCATTGTCACCTTTGGGGCATTGTTCTGTCCTGTCTGGAGGTCCCTTCCCACTGTGCCACCAGCAGAGCCATCGCTCAGTAAGCTGTGGCCACATTGGGACCACAACCTGGCGGCTGCCGAGCCGCACATACCAGTCCAGAGTCTATTGCAGTAATTATTCCTGGGGCTCTGCTAAGTTTTCAGTTCAAAACTTCAGATGAGGTCACGGGCTCAGCTGGAAACTGCAACACTGGTTTCTGTGCTATCAAGTTAATTGCCCGTAAGTGAGAATGTTTACTCATGGAAATATCAAACCTTTGTGTTTACTACTAGGATTAATGTGTGCTATGGAAGGGTTTCGAAAGCCTGAGCAGTTAGTCCCTCGTTGTGCTGATGTTGTCCCGGGACCCAGGAAAGTGAGCACTGTTAATAGCACAGACAGCCTGAGCAGTTGCCTGTTCCTGGAGGCTAGCTGTTGTCTGCATTGCTGGAGGGGGAGAACAACGGACCAAATGCAGTAAGTCATAATGCACGTGTGGCTGTTACTTTGATAGTAAACTCTGGGGGATCAGTGAGCCTCTTTTGTTCATGTATAATGCCATGCATTACAGGGGCTTGGTCCATGACAGTGGCAGGTACAAGTTAAATTTAGTCTCCAAAGGCAGTACATACCGAGATGTTCTTGTTGACATCCAGGCCCTAAAAAGAAAAGGCAAATAAATTGATAAGTAATGACACAGTGAGACCATCTTACAGTGTTGGGAGCGGACTGGGCTCTGTTCTAAGCTCTACCCTGGAGTCCACCCATAGCCTTGATCAAGTCCTTTATCTCTTTAGGATTCAGTCCCTCACATGAGTGATAATCCTTTCTTTTCTCCTCCACTTCTTGCATCTCTTGTATTTAGACTGCCAGTTCATGTGTATAGCATCTAGTAGTGCAAGGACCAATGTGGCAGGATTCCCATACAGTACCTGCACTGTAGAAGGAAATGGGGCGTTTCATGCTCACGGTACAAAATGCAATACTAAATGACAATGCTAAGGTGTGGTGTAACAAGAAAGCATAAAGAGTGTGGACCTTGATGCTGCGGTCCTGTGAAGTGATCAGGGCTTCCCATGTGCTTAAAATAATGCTCACACTCCAGAACTTTGCAGGACACAAGCCAGAGCACAGAGCACCTTTCGGGATTGAGCCTTAATTGGGTTTCTGAAGTTCATTGAAATGTTTGCAACTGATTTGCAACTTTGGGGTGGAAATTTCATGAGAAGGTCTTTCTCGTGAGAGACCTACTCCTTCCTCTTTCCTGTTGGGCTGGGAATACTCTGATTAGAGACTCTGTCCTGGCATTTCAGCACTCCTGATCCCGACCGGAACCTGAAAGTGCTGAGGCAGCCACAAACAATGGGAAAGAAAGGGAGAGGAAAAGCATTCCTCCCAGCTCCCTTGGACTTCAGCGACACAGTTTCCCTGAAACACGCTTTGGGGACTGGAACTAATTACACTGATATGCTGCCAGCCTGGTACTAAGCATTTCCAGCCAAGGATTGTCTCACTAAAATTTTTATATGTAATAATGAATGTGCGCTTGGTTTAGTCTCGCTAGCGGCAGTAGTGAAGATATTTATGACAGTGTTCACGCATCAAGTTATCTGGAATTGGAGAGGGCTAAAGCCCATGCTGCTCTTTGCAGTGCTCTGTGCCTTTCTTGGCATATGGATGTAGCCCTTGTTTTCATTTAAGGCTGGGAGCAGAGAGGCACAGAGCACCCTGTCTGCCCCAGTGCTGTTCAGCAGCAGGCAGGGTTGGCTTGTCCTCCCCACACCCCACTCTGCTCTGCCTGAGCAGAACTTCTCCCTGCTTCTCCCACAGCTCTCACCTGGGGCCTGGCTCCAAGCTTATCACTCACCTTTCTTACTGCAGGGTCCTTGGACGGAAAAGCCTGTCCCTCAGCCATGCTACCAGCTTCTCTGAACTCATTCTCTTTGTTCCTATTATTTAATGACTTCCTCAGCCCCACCATCATTGGCTGGCTGTTTCCTGAATCCGGGTATCTCTCTCTTCCTGCAATGAAACACAAGGACTTGCTCACATTTCTCAGCAGTGTCCTGCTAGGATGGCCTCTGGGCAGTGCTGCCAGAAAGCTGCAACTCCAGATGGGATGAGACCCCATGTGTTTTCATGTCACACTTCAGTGGAAAGAAGGTAAATGCTCCAATAAAATGTCAAACCACGACAGACTTTCTAATGTCTTCCTCATGGTCTTATTCTCTTTTCAGGCCTGCTCTGAAACTGCCAGGAGAGAGCATTTCTGAGCCTCAGCACTAGAGATCCCAAAGGCCGTTTACACCCTGACTCTGCCCTGCTACGAGGTGTGTTGGTGTTCTGCATTTCACCAGGTATTAGAGGCAGGCTGAAGTCCAAGGTTTGAAATAAACTAATTTGTCTCGCTTTTTGGGCTAGTTCATATCTAACATTGGATCCAGACTTTTCAGCTGGCTTCATCATCAGTAGGCTGAGCCCAGTCTTTCTCAGCCTTTTGGAAAAGTTGGTCTCTGGATCCAAGCTTTGCAGCTGGGGCTTATTTCCACTTGGTCTATAGAATAAGTCATCCTCCAGGAATGTATTCTGTGCCTGCTTGAGAGGGCAGATGAACTAATAACAGGCATAAGGCTTTCCACCTTACATCAAATCCTACCTTGGCTAAGGGGATTTTAAAGCCACACAGAGGGGCTTCACTAATGGACCCATACAGGCATGATAAGTTTCCAAAAGAGAGACGCATTTTATAATGCATTTGTCCTAATTTTTGTAGCCACAGCTGCAGAGCTGCAGAGAAGTCCTGCTTCACATGTGAAGAAGTGTTAAAATCCTATGTGTAGAGAAAGCATTTTAAAACACATAGAGGCATTTCAAAGCACCTTTCCAGCTAAAGTATAGTTCCACTAACACCTTGCTCTGCTCCTATTTGTTTTTCCTAGGGGAAAGGACGCTGCAAATAAGATTGTTTCACATGACTGGTGGGAGGCAAGAGGGCAGGTTGGAGGTATTTGAACTCACCATTGCAGCTGCTCAGCTTTTCAGTGTTCACTCCTATTTCTGGGATGATGGAAAGATCAGAAGGGTTTCCAGTCTGAACCAAGAGGCTATGAGGTCTGCTCCTTCCAGCAAAAAACGTCTTCACATCTTGGTACGAGTTGAGGAAGACACTGGCAGCTCCACAGCAGCAATGCTGCAGAAAGTACTCCTACACCAGACAAGAAGAAAGTATGCAGACTCTCAGGCTGCAACAGCCCAAGGTAACCAGGCAGTGCAGTGGTACTGATAAATTGCAATCATTCCAGCTCAGGGATGCACAGCCTTATCCTGAGACCCATCAGAACCCAGACAGATTATTTAATTCTCTAAAACGCTGAGAAGCCTGAAGTTGGTAATGTAGATTTTTCATGAGTTCATTGGTGTTTAACCTAAACTGCCTGATACTCAGCATCTTTTGGTTTTGTTTCCCAGAAGAAATTGAATACAAGTTTCTAAACACAGAGCTTCTCAGCTAAGGCATTTTTATAAACAAACAGATCCATTCTAACAGTGATTCGCATTTTGAGATAATACTATTTGTTTTGGAGAGTGAACAGACAATAGTATCATGTATTTTTATTGATGAGATGCCATGGATTGCTTGCAGTGAATCTGGCTGGTTAACATGCATGTGGCACTTCAGATGTTCTACTTCTGCTGTAGCTGATGTGGTGGGAAGTGGAGATTTTCAACCCTGCACAACCATGTTGCACAAGAGTTTAGTAGGGCAGGAAGCAAGGAGAGCTTTATCCGGCTGAAGTGGAAAGGGAACCAAACTCTATTGGTGTTGAAACCAGGACAGGCAAACACCAGTTTAGCACCTCTGGAGACCCCTAAGCAATTGACAGTTTTAACACAACTCATCTGGTGTGTTGCCACAGTAGCATGGCACTTTGCAGTATCTACATCTTGGGGTGGACTTCAAAAATCTGATGAAAGATGCTACTTTTGGCCCAGGGCATTAAAGACCCTGACTGGGTCTGCTGTGCTGTAAAGCAAAGGATGTGGAATAACCGTGTTCCCTTTGTGTCCCAGGACTGAAATGTTATCAGTCTCTGGTGATGTCTGTACAGCTCTCAAGAACAGCATCAGGAGCACTGGTCATTTACCATCCTCACAAACAGCTTCTAATACCTCACTAACCCATCTCTGCTCTGGGATTTGTGTTGTCTCTAGCCATGTCTGGGGCATGGAAACCTTTCCACGCTCGTAGTCTGCATGGAGAGTGAACATGGTTTGGCAAGTGGCCTTAGGATGCCCTCCAAAATGCAACGTGGACAGCAACCTCCACATCTTGTGGCAAATAGGGGTAGTAGCATACCCCCTTCTACACAGAGGGGCTGTGACTCTGAAGAGGAAAATGACAGAGAGCTGCTCAGACATAGGAGATGCAAGCACCACACTGACACTCAAGAGAGAGCACCCAGTTTTGTAGAGCATATTGCAAGTGCTGAATGTAACATAGGGGCCCAATTCCCCACTGAACAGTATGGGACAAATGAGAAGGCACTGCTGAGAGATCTTGGAAAATACCACAAAGATCAAAGTTTCAAATATTTAAATGAAAGTATGGTGCCTTTCCTTTCAGGGGGGGTTGGAGAGGAGGGGGCACATACACCAGATGAAGATTTGACCCTGATTTTGCAGCTTGGAAGAGTTACTCTGAGCAATGACTCACAGTCATAAAGCTTCAGGAAATGTGTTAACAATTCCCAGGCTCCATGTAGGAGGCTGCATTCCTCTGAGTGTGAGAGATGGGTACAGGGAAATGACGGACTACACTGCTCTGCAACCTGACTCACAACTTGGCTTTGGCTCTGAGGAGGAGTCAGTCACCTACTGCAGACTCAGTCCCAGCAGGTGGGAGGACAGCACTGGGGGAGGAATGATGCCGTCGGAGAATAAAAGACTGGCCACAGCATGGCTGGGAAGAAGCAGCTGAGTGTCACAGACCCCTTCTGTTCCTTTGGGGACTGATAAAATAAACAGACAGGGAGGGAGGCCAAAGAAAAAGAAATGAGAAGCAGAGGTGGGTTAGAGCTGAACAAAATATGCAGAGGCTAAAAAATGCTGCTTAGGAGGATGCTGAAATGATTTGCAAATTTCAGTTAAATTCCCCAGCTATCTCTGGCTGATAAAAAAGACAAATGGGAACACTGTGATGTTTCATGTCAGAGATTCTTCATTTGGCAGCTCAGAAGCAGAGGCAGGGAAAAAGAGCGTTGACTTGTGTAGTGGTACCACTGCTTCAATTTCCCCTTGTGTCTGTTCTGTGGGAGATTCTGGGATTTTGACAGTTTGAAACCAGCAGGAAAAGAAAGAGCTGTTAATTCAAAACACAGTTACTAAGGAGGTCCATGGAAACGTTTTGTTTCAATAGCATTGACAGGGCAAGATGTGTTCTTGGGAAGTTTTCAATTGTAGAGAAGTAAAAGCTACTGACTTTGTGCTGGCCATTGCATGAGGTGAAAGGGATGCTTTTTAACTCAGCAGAAGCAAGCACATCTGGAAAGCAAAACTGAACAAGAACAGAAACCCAATCCCACCCTAAGGGAAGCTGAGCCCAGTGTGGTGGATGAGGACTCCCTGAAGACCAGAGCATCCAGCCCAGGTAGGTGTAGGGTCAAGTAAATTAGTATCTTCCCTCACACAAACTTGAAACTTCTCATCTGGGCCTTGAGTGTATAATTTAATGGAAGATACTATGGTGTCTGCTTACCTCTTTTATCTGGCTCATCTTCTGCTCTTTCTGCAAGCTGCACACTTGCTTTTGGAGACGCAGGTTGTGCTCCTGCAGCTGCCCAATCTTCTCAATCAGTTGGCAAATGTGTTCCAGGTATCCCAGACCAGATCCCAGGACTTTGCTGTTACCTTGGTTCACCTGCGATGACAACACATCTTGACCATAGAGCAACAACAGAGCAATCCTTATTAGCAGTGGGAGCCCAGCACACTCCTTACAATCATGTGGGCAGTGGTAAAGACACTCAGGCTTCTTCTTGCAAGGGGCTTTGGTTATAGCCAGATCTGAGCTACAGCATTGCTTGTTCGTAGATCTCTTCTGGATTACTTAGCAAGATGTGCCATCAGAGGGACTCTTCTGGCTGATCACGGGCTGATGCAGAGGAAAACCTTGTGACAGCCTGTTTCTAGTTACACCTCCCAGGCTAATTTTTATCTTTTGCTGGCCACAGGACCCTTACAAACAAATATAGTTTGACTGTATGGTATAAATGGCTGGGGTTAGTATGGTTCACTTAGCCCAAAGTCCTCAGTGCAAGTCACACTTACGTGTACTGAGTCTGAGCTTTGCTCCTACCTAAAAGTATGTATCTGCAAGTTGCGGTGACTTGCTGCTTTGTGACCAACTTGAGGGTACGTTTTGTCTGCCTTTGGCAATCTGTAACTGTTACAGCACAGCTGAACTCAGACCCTCATCACTGGAGTGTCAGTGAGAGGGACACGTACCTGAACCCAGCTGCCAAAGTGAAAGAACATCTTTCCACTGGTCTTTACCAGATCCCAGCTTACGTCCTTGCTGCTACTTTCTCAGTCATTAAGAAGTGCCTGAAGAAAGTCTGCAGGATCAAGCTTGCTGTCAGGCTATGACAGAACATCGTGTACCACTGATCTCTCCACACCTAGGACCTGCAGAATCTCACTGCTGCTCAGCCAAGGGCAGTGCTGGAGGCACACAGTGGCAGAGGAAAGGCAGCAGTACTTCTCAGCCTCCTACTCTGCACCTCGCCGTTTCTGGCCCCAGGACTTCCCCATGCACACTAAGTGTCCTCTCCTCCACCGTGAGCGGGCTCTGCCGAATGTGCTGCTAACAAATACATGCAGAGGCTCACTTCCACCTTGGCGCTGCCTGCCGATGTGCATGTGATATCAGTAAGTAAAATAAGCCTCGATCTTTACAAAAGCGGCACTCTAAGTTTATCTTACTTCATAAGTTCCCTCTACAAAAGCAGGAAGCTTACTCTGTCTCCTTTCCCATAACAATCTACATTTTTGGGGAAATGCCAGCCTTGGGACTCTTCCTGTCTTTTCATTATGTCAGAAAGCTCATGGTGTGTTCAAAAATAATCAACATTAGGTTTTACTTCTTTTTAAACAAATGATGATACAATGTTATTTATAAACAGGTATTATTATGTCCAGATGCTTTTGTGTCTGAGGCTGGGACAGAGGTCACATGAAATCATGAAAAACTGTAATGACTCTAAGCCCACCAGTCATTCACATTCATGATTTTTATTTTCCTCTCAGGCAAAGCCTGCAGAAGCAGTGGTAAGACAAAGGTTACTCAGTCATAAAACCGAGTCCTTAGAGTGTCTGTGCAGTGGGAAGGGGCACAGCCCCAGGACCCACAGGGAGAACAAAGCCTGTGTGTTGTCTGCTGGGAAAAGCTTGAAGAAAAAGCACTATAACTGACATATGTGAAAGCAGGAGGTTTTGAGCTGTCCCAAAATAAGCAGTCATGTTTTCACACTGTTATCCTTGAAAACATAGGCTTTCTGCCACTCTGCACCCTCTTTTTGCACATTGAGCAACTCCCCTTTTTGCCAGTTTGCTGTTGCAGTGTCTGATGGCATGTCTGTATTGCCCTAAGGAGACAGTCAGCCAAATCTGCCCCATTATAGCTGTAGCTGTAGAAACACAAGGGAAGAGTACCAGGGACAGAGGAGCTCTTGGAAAAGAGGATAAAGTAAAACATTTGGCTGTAACTTCAGGAGTGAGGAGAAAGCATGAAGCATTTGCCTGTGACCTCTTTCAGCTAGAGACTCTCTTTTTGTTCCATATTTGTCCCGTGCTTAATATTGTAAGGTTTTGCTTCATGTTCCTGGCTACAGGGTTTAGGGCAAGTGGGCAGGGGAAGAGAAGGTGGCTCTGATTACCAGTGCTCTGTGTCTAGAGCTGAAGGCACTTGAAAGCAAGTGTGTGTTTGGGGCAGGCACGGAGAAAATGTGGCTTTTAGCGAAAGGTAGAGAGATCTTCCAATTTCAGAGAATAAATTAAGGTCCCCAGTAAATCAGATGGATAAGGTGTAGATCAGTTGCTCCTGGTCTTGGAGCAAGGTGGATTTACCTCTGTAGAGGACCTAAACCAGACTGAACATTGAACTTAATATGCTGGTGGCCCCTGTTTCACATTCAGAGGTTTTTCACCCTTCAGAGGCTTCTCAGGGCAAGTAGTTTGGGCTATTCAATAGGAAATTAATTTGCATTTTATTAAAGTGATCCCAGCAAGGACAAATGAACATAAGATAAATCAGGCAGAGCTTCCAGTGCCTGCCCATCCCTGCGGGGCCAGCCACCTCTATGGTCAGCTTGCAAGGGTAAAAGTTTTAAGGTGGATGTGTCACCTGCTTGCCCTGCTACAAGGCCTGTTAGCATCAGGATTGCTCAGATATGGTACACATTCAATACAGAAAATTTGTGTAATTTAGCTGGTTGCCCAAAACAATTTCTCAGAGAGGGCCTCTCTACGGACCCTTCCAGGACTTTCTTTTCCATAGACTGGAAATACCTACCCAGCCCTTGCTATCTTCTGGTCATGCCAAGTGCAGTGTAGAACCTGCTCTGTCACATTCTGGTCTAAATATTTTCCTCTCAGCGATTGTGAGAGTTTTATGCTAGCAGTGGAGGGTGAACAACCATAGGAAAACTGCAAACAGGATGAGTCTCTTCTAGTCTCTCTCCTCCCACTTGAACATTCCGAAAACATTCACCTAACGGGAATGAAATTTTTCCCATTCCCCACATGGCGATTGTCAAATAGTACTGGAACAAAAGCCATGTGCCCATTTTTGAGTTGGTGAAACCTGTGAAAAAGGAAAACCAGCTCTTCTGTTTTTTAAAGGTGGAAATGCAGAGCATCAGACAGACATGGTTTATGAATGAGATGGTTAAAGCTGCACTAGGAAAGTAACAACATAATGTATAAATAAGTGCCATAATTTGCTCTTTGGTACATCAGGCTGAACCAGACCCTCAGCTGGAAGAAAAGGAATCTGAGGCTCTCAGCTATACTATGCTGAGTTGCTCCCATTGCGTTTTTGACCCTTCATAGTTAAGGTGCAGTACACTGACTTTATGCCCATGTAACTAAAAAGAGGTCTCTGCCCTTGCGAGTGCTCATCTAAGTTTTGGAGACAGGTTTTCAGTACATGTAGGAGTGTAACTACAAACCTCCCATCATGGGCTTGGAGCAACCGATTAGTGATGCCACAGGCTGCCTGGGAAGCATTTGTCACTGGAAGCTGACAGCCCCAGAAGGCTTCTGAATAACAGGAAAGAGAGGGATCGTGCTGTATATTTCTGACGGCTCCACCCTGCTGTCCAGGAGGGGCTGTGCTCACTGATAGCTGCTGGTTTCCTCTGAGCAGCACGCAGGGGCTATGGGCTGACCATCACAAGTTGCCCTATCCTTTGCCTGAACTGTACCACTCTCTGCAGGAAAGTATTTTGTCTGCTTGGGCCCAGGATAATTAGCACTGTGTGAATAATGGAGGTTTTTAATTTAATGATGACAATGCTCCCACCCTCTCTCTTCTTCCAGGGGTATGGGCTGACTTTAAATGTAAACTTAATGGATCGTGAGGAAGTGTTTGCAAAGCAAAAGCATCAAAAGCTGTGTGTCTTCAAACTGACCCCAACCATTTAATTTGGCTTAAAAGGAAATGCTTTTATTTAGGCTTCAAAGTTGTTTCACTTGTTGTTTGACAGCTTCCACTTTCTTTCATCTTTCTAAATGTAGACGAATTTCAAAATAACAACAGTTCAAAACAAAAGATCAGAAACCTTTGTTTAAGAAGTGCCAGACTGAAATTATTTGATGTATATTTTCAGCCAAAGCCATTCACCAAATGAATCCAAATGGTCAAAACCTTTGGTCATTTCCAGTCTCTCTTTTTCAGCATTTTCCTTCCTGTTCTCTTGGAAGTGGCCTCAGCAGAGAGGGAGGCCAGGAGGACATCAAGGGACATCCTCAGCCAGAGACTTGCTCAGCTGTGGTGTGCTGGTAAGCACAGTGCCATCAGCATTGCCACAGCCAGCTGGGCTGGGGAAACTCAACTGCTCTCCTGTTACTTGAAAGTTGTATTCCCAAAAACAGCAAGAGAACTGAGGAAGCTGCTGCCAGCTATAATTAAATAATGCTCTCGCCTGGCAATAAATATAAGCCAGTGTAAACACTCTTGCATCTCCATCAACATAAATTTAATGCAGTAGGAATTGATTTGATGGAACAATTCAGTGTGCAATATTTTTTGCCAAGCAGAGTGGGAATACCCTGCACTGGTCTGCTGTCTTTCAGACAATACTGATTGCACATCCAAGGGTATCTGAGTCTCTGAGTTCCAGCCCAGACAAGAGATTGGTGCCTAAGTACTATGTTGTATCTCAGACAGGTTACAGGCAAATGTGAAAACCACAGAGTAAGCCTGGAGCAGAGCCTCAGCTGGGGTGCACCAAGATGCATCCGTCAGCTGTACAGGCAGATGATCATCTGGATGTCATTTCTGAGTGGGTCTCACCCTGTCCTGCCTCTGTTGTACGACAATGAGGACAGGTCAATCTTATTCAGGTCTGGGGAGGGCAGAAGGCTCTGCAGCTGCAGGAGGCTGTCCCTATGCTCTGAGACACACAGCGCAGCAGCAGCCACAGGACTGTGCAGCAGCCGTGGGGGTTTCTTGCCCAAGTCAGCTTGGGTGCTACCTGGCATCCTGGCAGTTTGAAGAGGGCTCCTTTTGAGATACAGCAGCCTGGAGGTGCTCTGTGAAGAGGGGCAAAGTTCCCCAGCATCTAGGTCACAGCTGTATTTATACAGCTCAAAAAACAAACAAAGAAAAGTGCTCTCGGGCACTGAGCTTTAGCACTCAGCCAGTGAGGATATTAAAAAGGAGGGGAGATAAGCCACCAAGAGCTTCATTTCCTCTTCAGCTTCTTTCTAATTTATTCTCTTGTTTATTTAAATGCTTTGCTTTAGGAAACTGAGGCTCCATTTCACAATGGATTTAAAAGAATTTCATGGGCAGTCAGAGCTGTCAGGCAAGACCAAGCTGGGTGCAAACCCTTCAGAGTGCAACAGTGAATTTAGGTAACTTTTTATAAAGTCTTCTTTTAGTCATTCTCCTGCTTCTGTCCTTTTTTTGAACACTCTCCCAAAAGGCCAGGTCACTGTCTGTTTGGGAACCATGCAAAATAGGCATTTGTCTTCTGCTGTGTGTGAGGGCTCTGGGGAGGAAGAGGTTGCTCCATTGGATTGTGTGTTGCTTGTGCTGCCTTGATATGCAACGTTTACAGAGATGGGCCATCTCTGACCTTCCTTGCTGCTCAGGAGGATTTGGTATGCTGGAGAGGAAGGCCATCACTTGATGATTCAGTGCCCAGGCAGAGAAGTCATGGTGAAATTATATGCACAGCACACACCACTTGTCACTTGACGTCCTCCCACGGATCTCCCGTTCCAATTCATCACTAATACCACAATGAACATCCCAAAAAGAAATGCCTGTTATGCACCATTTGATTTTTCTGGTGTGTCTGTGTGACCCTCTTCACCTAGCCTGCTTCCTCCTTTCCTTTTTCTTATGGAGCTTTTTGGTCTGCCTCTCTATCAAAACTCAGCTCACCCTTTAGAGCTTTCTGTCACTGATTTGTGTGTCAGCAGCATGAGGCTTCAGGCAAAGCACTGCAGTGAATGAGCACTTCCCAGCATCCACTATGGGAGAAAGTGCACAGAAGGGCTTTTTATTCTCCCGTCAGTCGCATGATGTACCCAGCAAGGAGGAATGAGTAGAGCAAGCTGCTGAAAATATTATGTCTTTACAGTTGAGCAAGTCTCAGGACAGAGGAGTTTCCATCATAGCTGCGCTGGAGAGTTAAAAGGGGATCACCAGCCCAGCAAAGATTTGAATTTATGCACTAGGTTTTCTGTTCACTCATTATTGAGAGAGCTGGGTCAAGAGGACAGGACAGGACAGGCCTGGACAGGAATGAGCTACCCCTTAGACAAGTTCTTTCCAAACTTTGGTGGCCCAACAGCAGTCCAGCTGTTCCCAGAAACAGGAATAACCAGACCTTGCAAAAAGAAACTACGTTCTGATTCCTGTCCCATGTACCAGAGGACAATGACTAACTTAATAATCTTAATTTTAAGACCAGAATCAAGTCCATCCTCTAATCTAGGGTTTTTCAAAACATCCAGTCTCCACGAGCCATTAGTCATCTTTACCCAGACCCAATATATGTGAATTACTTCAGAATTTCACTGCTATGAAAAGAGCTCTCAAGAATCAACTGTAAATTTGCTGCTTACAACGGTTTCAGGGGAGATTTTCTAACTCATTCAGATGTGTCCTAGTTCGTGACAGACGATAAGACTTGAACTCCGACTGAAGTCTTTGGCTGGGCCTAGCTATAATATTCAGTTTAGGTGTTTCTTACCTCACTCAGTCTACAGCATTCATCCATGTATTCATCCAGACTGTCACTTGTGGGGTACTTCTTCAGCTGCTGTTCATGGATCTGAAGGTCTTGCATGCTACCAAAGTTCTCTGGGAAATTGTCAGCAACTGTCTTTGGCTCTTCTATGGGAGTGGGGGTGGGAAGAGTGCTTTCCCTGGGAAGGTCCATCTCTGAGGTAGGTTTCTTTTCCAGAGACTGCCTTTTGCTTTGGTCAAAATGGTCATTGGGACTTTCTTCCTGGGGGACACTGAAGTCTTCAAGGGAAGCTGTATGATCCTGCACAGCATCTGCATCCTGATTGTAGTACTCAGCTTGCTTTTCACTCTCTGGAGCTTGGTGGCTGTCGTTTCTGGCATGCTCTTTACATGTTCTCATTATCAGATGGTCAATTTCTGGAGAAGAAGAGGTGCTAAGCACACCCGAGTCACAAAATGAGTCTCTGCTGTGAAGCACAAAGCTCTTCTCTGAACCTGTTGGTGTTGATGGAGAATTAGCCCCACTCGGCAATTCAACCCCTGAGTCCTCAGATTCAAATTTGGAGAATCTGTGAAGTCGGCACTTGGACTCAAAGGTGCTGAGGTCAGGCAGCGTGGCTACATAGTCTGTGCTTGCTGGGGCATCTGCATAGTCTGGATCTGCCAGTGCAGCTGCTGCATTTGGATTTCCCTGGCAGTCGGATGGGAGGCTGGTGCTGGGGAGACGGGACTCTTCTGTGCAGGCGGTGTCAGCTGAAGCCTCTTGGATTAACCCTGGGTTTTGAATTCCTTCATTACTCAGTATCTTCATATGTGTTAACACGACTTTGTCCTCAGCAGGTGGGCTCTTCTTCCCTGCTTAAAAGAAAACAAGTAGAGGGTCACAAGAGGCAACAAAACTCAGTGTGTAGTGCATCCCCTGAGGGATGCAAAATGTAAAACTGTCTATAGTAAGGTGGTAGAGGGGGACAGCCTTGATTTGTTTTTCTTGAGCCATATGAAGCTTTCTTGTAGGCTTTGCTATAATAGAAGTGTTGTGTTTCATAGCCCCAGAATCCTTCAGAGGGAGTCATAAATGCACACTCAGAGTTCTGATTTAGTAGATAGGTAGAGAACACCACATGTAGCCAGATGATAACTTCTTAGTGATTAACTGTGTATACAGACACAGAGAAGTGTTCTTTCAGCATGGTAGACATTAAATTAAGGGTAAAATATTTCCTCTGATTAAATGTATTCTGAACCAGCAGAAAAAAAGGGTAAAAGGAAATCTGTCTTTGTGCAGACTTAAGTGAATTTGGGGTTGCAACAAGCAATTTGCAAACTGTTTGGTATTCTCTACAGTATTCTCTGTACACATACAGGTGATGAAAAGCAAGTACTGATAGGAAAAGCAAACAAAGCTCTGTAGATCTTTTTCACTCCCAGTATGGTTTTAGCTATGAAGTAATTTCTTTAAATGAACTCTTACCTTCTCTGTGAAAAGATATGGAAGCAGCTTTGTTCATGAGCTTTTTGCACATGGCCAAAGATGACTCGTTTTCATATCACATTTATTTCACAGGGTAATGTGGTAGAACAGTGTCTGGATGAAAGGTTGATCGACAGGAGCTGAAGATGTGCCCCCAGGTTTCCTTACTGTTTTTCTGAATCTAGTATTTCACAGTGTAGACTCTGGTTCACACTGGGATGAGAGCCAGGGTGAAAGCTCTGCATCTATCCTTTAGCAAACTGCAAGTCTCGGCTTCAGATTCATCTCTTCATGGATTTGGGACCAGGAATTGCTGCAGTACAAAACTTCAGTTTCTCTGGTATCTCTTCCATTATTAGTGCCTGACTCAGAGCACCTCAGAGGGCTACAATGCATACACTTTTCAGGATATCTTACTTCCTACTTCATTTCCTTTTATTCCCTTCTCTTACTTACTTCCTTTTCTCCTGACATCAAGCCAGCAGCTGCTTCACAAACTCACCCCTGGTAACGTAAGTATCCCTAAGTAGGCTGAGAAGCCTGGCACCTCTCACTAGCGGTAGAGTGGGGACTGCTCCACTGCACAGCCCTCCCTCACTGTAACCCAGAAAACTCCCTGATTCAGAAATAACCTGTTTTCCAGCCTTCCCTCCTTCAGATTGCTTTCTGCAATGTCCACAGACAAGGGAGACTTCAACTCATTAAGGCCAAGCTAGCTATTATATGAATCATCTTCTACTTTATTTAAATTCCTTCTGTTTGATCTTGAGAATTTCTTGGGATGGCACTGAAACATGTCCTTTACTGTTCATAGGCAGCCATAGATTTAATATTTCACACTGGATTTTCAAAAGGGCTGCCAGTGGTAAATAATCCCATCTGATGAGCTTTTTTATGGCACTCAGGTACATAGTCCTTACAGTCCCTTACAGAAGATCTTGTTTAAGATCTTCTCTCTCCATTGTGAAGAGCCACATCTGGGACAGTCGGTGCCAGACTGCCAGCAATGCAACACCAGTATACTGCTGTGATGGGGAACAAGAGAAAGACATTGCTCATAGAAATGTATAACAGCCCTTCAACTCTTGGGATGAGTGTGACGGACCTTGAACTGAGGACCAGGAATAGGGAGCCTGGTTTGCAGCTTCACGCACAGCAGACCACCACCTCAAAGAGGGAGCTTGGTGCCAGGTCCTGGAAGGAGGAAATGGGGCTGAGTAGTTACTGATTTGGAGTGAAGAGGATCTACCTGCTCAGCTGCAAATACCTCTCACAATGAGAGGCAAAGCATCGTATCTGCATGGAAAACATGAGGCTAACAAGCTCTTCTGATGGCAGCACCACCCCAGATAGCACAAAACCACTGAGGAGAGCAGTTGCGTTGCTGCCCTTTCTTTTTAAGAACAAATCATACAGATGTTACTCTTACCAGGAATTACCATATGCAATGGTAGTCCCTTCCCACAGACTCTGATTGCCTACACTTATTAATCATGCCATGCTTTCCTTTGATTGGAGATTCTCTCACTGTCTTTCAATCTGCCCTTTTTTTCTTGCTTAACCGGTTTCACCCTGGCCTACACAAATATTTCTTTGTCTGAAATCAGGAAGCAGTATATTAAAATGAGGTCTTGCTGCTTACAGAAGGAGATATCACATGCTTTAATTCATATATTTTATCACTACAAAAGCTGCAATTTGTACCAAAAAGTTTTATTGGGGTAGAGAAAAATGAAAAGTAAGGAGAAGAAACCTCTGACCCCCTGAGTGAGGGTCCCTATGATGCCAACAACTCCAGTGCTGAGAAAATTCTGCGCTACAGACAACACAGCCCTTTGCTCTCCCCATCCTGTGGCCAGCAGCAACATCAAATGGTTTCACAACAATTTCTTGTTTATCTGTTCTAGGCTGCAAACCACTGATCTCAGCACTGGCAGGTTCTGGTAACCACAGTGTTGGAGCATCTCTGATTTATCCTCCCAACCCCTTGTGATGATGCAAAATGCTATCATCCCTCCACCACAGGTTCAAAATAGATGCAAAGAACAGCAGGATTTTGCAACACACTTAGGCATCTCATCCTTATTCATTCAATGATACCTTCCTATGGTCAATGAGGTCGCCTGTGCTACAGCAAAGAGATCCCCCATGATTAAGGTAAAGACCTGAAACTCAAGTTGTTCTTGCTGCACCCCACTGATGGAACAGCCTCTTCTTCCTCTCTCTTAACTGGCTTTTGGGATCTAAACCACACGGCTTCCAGCAGGCAGATTGTTTCTGCTACGGATCTTGAAAGCAGCATAGAAAAATGCTCAGCTCTTTCAAGCACATTGCCAACAAACACCAGAATGGTACAATTAAAGCTCATCTGTGCAATTACAAAAAAAAAAAGTGAGCCAGACCCTCAGCTGCTATAAATTAGCTCATTACCAGGGCCTCTAACAGAGCTGTGTCAGCTTATTCTGGCTGAAGACTTGGCCTGTAAGTGCTTTTTGTACAATACTAGGGGCCCAGAGCAAAGCAGGGAAGGTGGACTCCTGCCTGGCACCAGAGGGTGCATGCTCAGGGGTGCAGTTACAACTTTTGAAAGGAGGTGTGAAGAACTTCAGAGCTGAAGCGTGCCATAAGGTTGGTAAGATGCATTTACTTGTGCTGGAGGCCAGCCAGTTTTGACACTGCTGCTCCTGGGAAATCAGCCAAGATTTCTTTTGTTGTTGTTTTTTGTTTCCCTTCCCCTGGACTGGCTTTCCACACCCCTTCTGGGGTAGTGGTAAGGTACCGAAAGATGCTGCTTTCAGGCAACTGGCTGGGATGCTGGTATGGCAGCAGGGGAGGGAATGGAGTGGTGTGTGCGTGCTTAGGAATCGGTACAGCTTCCTGCAGCATCTTCAGCAATGCATGCCCAGGCCAAACATTGTCTCAGGCTAACTTGTGCTACTTGCCTAGTAGCCCTCTCAAAGGGTTATATGGCTCTGTAATCACACTGGAGATAAACTGGGTTCCCTGGGTTGTAATTTAAGCCTGTAACTGAGGATGATGTGTGACCCTGGGCAAGTTGCTCACTTCCTGTGCCTGTGCAGTTGGAGAATAAGATTGCTTCCCATCTCACGGGGGAGATAGCAACAGTGAACTAGCTAACAATTGAATTTAAAGAGAGTGAAAGGAGTTGATGTGTCCCAGCTAAGACTCTAGATCTTTGCTTTGCTTCATTTCTGAATTGCTTTCTAGGATTCTTCTCTGTTGGCAGTTCGCAAAGCCTAGCAGGGAAACTTAAATCCTTCAAAGGTGAATACCCTCCCATCAGCTCCTCTCCCATGGCTTTCCTTTCCTTGCAGTTTTAGGTCCAAGTGGTTTTTTTTTTCTGTTGCACAGTAACTAACAGCTGCCAGGGCACAGCCTAGTGCATTAATACAGAGATTTCTGACCTGAAGAAGGAAGGCAGAACATGAAACATAAAATACCTTTCAAGCAATTCAAGAGATGCACTTGAACAACTGCCCAATGCCTCCTCGACATTCCCAGTCCTGCCCAGGCCCAGTTTCTGCAAAAGCTCCCACCTTTCTAGTCAACCAAGCCAAAGTCTGTATTCAAATTCCCATGCTCCAAAGCATTGAAATCCAGGTCCATTTTTAAATTTTTTCATCTATGCCTGTGGCTCAAAGCTGTGTTTCACTGGCAATTCCTTCAGTACAAGACTTGTTCAGCTCTGCTACGTCCCTGAGAGGGGTCCTTGGACTCTGATGCACTGACTCAAGTATCATAGCACATGGTCTTCTGATGCATCTGGCTAATGGAAGTACTGGTGCTGGGAAGAGGCCGAGCTGGCAGTGGGGTGAGTGCTGCTAGTGGCAGTACAGAGCTACACCATACAGTGCTTCCCTGTGCTGCTCTCCTCCATTCTGGTCTGTGCCCATCCATCTTCTCAAAATGTTCACCCTGATTTGTAGGCTGTTTTACATAGGGGGAAACGCTGTTAAACCTGTGTGTAACAACTGGAGCTGAAGCTTTGCTTGTCTCCAGCTGCCGCTGTGTTGCAAAGGACAGCAGTGTTAAAGACGTGCTTGTTCCTAGAGCTGCAGCAAGGTCCATGTGCACAGCGAACCCATCCATAGTGGGTGGTGCTGGCAGGGTTATGTGGGGTGGCAGAACCAAGGAGGCACAAGGTGAGCAGTCCAGAGATGCTCAAAGTGCCTAGTGCCCCCTTCCTGTCTACCAAAAGACATGCAACACCTCCTAGATTTAAGTCCATAGGGCCAGTACTTTACAACTGTAGTATGCCACAGGAACAGAACACAAGAAACAAAGGGCATCACCAATGACTGGAGTAGCAGGGATTTTTTGCACAGCTGCCCTGCAAAGGAAAACCAAAGTCAAATCCCATCATTCCTACCAGTCTGCTTAGTCCTGAACACTTGCACAGCCTGCCCAGTAACTCCTCTCTAGCTCCAGCTGTGCCAAGGATTAAATCCTGTGCCATGCAGGACAGGTTGTGTGATGGGGCTGTGGATTCCAAGTAACAGACTAAAAGATGATCATCAGCTTTTGATGATGATAAAGAATCATTAGGCAGCAGTGACTGGTGAGCTGGAGTGAAACTCATGACCTAGAAATGAAAGGCTGCCTCTCCCATTCAGTACTTGCATTCCCTCATTTTCCTTCCTTCCTCTACCAAAAATAAAAAAAATCTCCCTTTAGTTCTGTCGCTGCAACACGTTCTCTAACGCTGCTGGCAGCACAGCTCAGGTGGTATTTCCCTTTCACTGCAAAGAGATTTGGTTTTGTTTTTTTTTCTCACCAATGATGAGGTCTTCGTTTCCCAGCATTTAAGAGAAAAGGGGTCACTTCCTTTCTGAAACAATAGGCATTTTTTGCTGCTGACTCTTCCCCCCATGTGTGCTAAGGGATGGGGCTGGGTCGTGGTGCTGTGCTGGTACCTCTTCAGCACTAGCCCACCAGCTGCCCCCCACGCACAGCATGCAGGAGCTGTGTATCTCTAGCTGGGCAATAGCTGTCCCTTGCACAGCCCTGCAGGCACAGGAAGTCTTTGCATGG